AACCTTTAGGGTACCAAAGACCCATATTATGAATTCCCTTAAGATATCTGAATATGCGTTTGACAGCGATCAGATGGGATTCCTTAGGTTCAGCTGATATCTTGCACATAAGCAAGTGGAGTACATGATATCGGGTCGGCTAGCTGTGAGATACAGCAAAGAACCGATCATTCCTCTGTAAACAGTCACATTTACAGGCTTTCCATTTGGATCCTTGTTGAGAGTGAGTAGAGGAGCCATAGGAGTCTTCATAGATGAACTGTTGGATAAATCAAACTTTTTTAGCATGTCTCGAACATACTTACTTTGGTTGATAAAGATACCTTTATCAGTTAGTTTGATATGGAGACGTAAAAATAGTGTTAGTTCTCCCATCATGCTCATCTGATATTCTTTCTTCATGAGTTCAGCGAAACGAAAACATAAAGAGAGATTAGTGGAACCAAAAATAATATCATCGACATAAATTTGGACGAGAATGATATGACCTTTAACTTTCCTAAGAAATAACGTCTGGTCAATCTTTCCACGAGAGAATTTCTCAAGAAATGTGGTTTGGATACTTAGGGTCAAGAAACCCTGGAGGTTGTACAACATAAACTTCCTCATGAAGTTTTCCATTAAGAAAAGGGCTCTTAAGATCCACTTGAAAGACCTTGAAGTCTCTATGGGCAGCAAAAGCTAGAAAGAGTCGAATCGCTTCAAGTCTAGCCACTGGTGCAAAGGTTTTGTCATAGTTGATTCCTTCTTCTTATCTATAACCCTGAGCAACAAGCTGAGCCTTATTGCGGGTTACCACACCATGGTCATCCAACTAGTTGCGATAGACCAATTTGGTGCCTATCACTGATTTGTCAGATGGACGTGGGACAAGGTACTAGACTTTGTTTCTATCAAACTCAATGAGCTCTTCTTGCATAGCAATAACCCAACTAGGGTCAGAGATAGCATCATTGATTTTCTTGGGTTCAACTAAAGAAAGAAAGTTGACAAAGAGACAGATATTACCTAAACCTCGACGTGTCTTGATACCTGCATCTAGATCACCAAGAATTTAATGAATTGGATGGCCGGTAGAGGAGCTTCATCTGAATAGGCAAGTTCATGTATGGAAGATGAGGCTTCAGCAACAGTTTCTTCAGCAATAGGGACTATTGCCAAAGGAGCCTCAAATTCAGCAATTGAAACAGGTTCAGAAACTGAAGGGATTTCATTCACTGATGGATAAGTGTTTTAAGTAGAAGGAGGTACACAGCTAATGGGAACTGCAGCGATCTCTGAAGAAGATGCGGTGGAGTGACTAGCTATAACTGGAATGATGAGTGGATCATCTTCAGCTTCTGGAGATTCAGTGTTAGGAGGAGCACTGTAGGAAACTTCAGGTTGTCTGTAGTGAGATACATCCAGTTCTCTAATTCATCCTCATCAT